ATAAACGATGAAGAAATTTTGAAAAATTTGCACAACTTGAACCGTACACGAAACCTTGACCGAAGTGGAATCAATATTAATAATAGGACAAAACAAAAATAATTTTTACGAAAACTGGAGGGCAGCTCAGACATAATTTTGATGCATGAAAGGAGGAAATTTCTGTCCTGTTGGTTACTGTACTGTATTTTTTTAGCGTGGCGGATATCTGTTTTATTTTTTCCGAGTGTTCCTTGAAAATTCGAAAAAGGTTCATTTTTCATATTTCATTGCAAAATGTGCAATCGAGATGAAACTAACCATGCGTCGGACACTGTGGTCTAGAACTTTGTGAAGCATGTGATTTCGTTTTTTTTTTATTCTCCGACGATGTATAAAACGTTTCACTTGAGAAATATTGTTGCTTACTAGGTACCAAATTCCAATGAATATATTTTTATACTATATTGCCACACAGAGGTCTTCCGTTTGTTAATGTGCCTTGCACCTTTGAAGCCAACGTCAACTAATGACAGTTTCGGTTTAGACTTTTAAGGACTTTGTCGACAGTATTTTATCGAAATAGGATCAGGACCCATTAAATTTTCATGGAAAATCCCGATTGAAGTGTGTAGTGACATCCTTCTAGAAAGAACATGGCGTGAAGTGCACAGATTAATTTGTTCAATTTAGGAGCATGCGCAGTGAGTACATTAATTTTACGGTATTTACGAAAACAAAAAAATAAATTCACGTTAGAAATTTGTGCGAAAAATTACAGCGGCGTTCGTGCTGGACCAAATATAAGAATTTAATATTAATATTTCAGCCAATTTAATGCGTAATTCATGGACCCAGCCGGAAGGCGTCGTTCGCGTCACCAGCGACGTAATCCGATTCGGCCGGCGGCAAATTGCGAAAATTGACGGGCAAATTGAGTCGCCCCGGCCCGGGCCCGGAAAATCCGTTCGGCTGCGCCGCCCCCGGGTATTTTAATCACGGGGACGAAATTGCAAATTATCGCCGGCCGCCCCGCACCCCAAACGCGAAAACTAGGCGGTTCGAAAACAATACAGGGTGTTTTAAAGAAGAAAAAAAAACTTCTCGCACGGGCTCCGCTTCCGGTTCTAAAAAAAATATATTTTTTGTCATAATTTGAATATGGGTATTTCTTGGTACAAATATATATTTTTAAAAATATCACGTGCATAAGGAGTATAAACTAAATATTAAAAAAAAGCGATGCCGCCAGTTCCTCCAACATTATTTTCGAAAAAATAAAAACCATTATCATGCATGAGAAAATGGCCAAAATCCTGGATATTGTTGTTTTATATCTAAAATTAGTTTTTGACTATTTTCGAGAATTTTTAATGAATTTTAATTTAAATTGAATACTAAAAATTACTGACATTTCTTGATCTCTCTTTTTCGTCCTTCCAGCCCTTGCGGACCGTTGCCGCCCTATATAGTGTCCGATTTGACGGTTTGGAAGTTATTTTTCCCTCTAACCTAGTCACGATGTTAAACAAGAATTTTACATTCTACGAGGAAATTTATAAAAAAAAATTATGAAAAAAATGTATTATTAATTTATTAAGCCAAACAAAAATAGACAACCAAAAGAAATGGCAGAACCTATACAGACTCTTTTAATTGCTTATGAGGTGCGGAAAAGTTTCTACTTTCTACCTAAATTAAGGCAAATATTCCAATTAGTTCGTAGCGATCGCTTCAATTAAGAATATATTTCTATATTTTCGAGGTTATTTTCTCTTGTGACGTTTTTGTCTGTAAAATAGTGGCTATAAAATACATGAAAAATATGATAGGTCCGTAGGACCATAACAGATCTAATGGCCTCGTTACACTAGAGCTTTTTTACACTTTCATTAATTTAAAGCACGCTGCAATGCTTCAAAAATAAACCTGTTTGCGTATACACATAAAAAAAGATACGTTGCTGTCGTTTTGTTTGTGTTTTGACTGCGATCATTAAATTAAACCAACATGTAAAAAAATATTTGCATATATGAGAAACATGTAAGCATTTCCTATATATTTTTTCACAAGATGTTTGTCTCCGCTGGACAAAAAGACATTTATTAAAGGCCTAAAGATTTTTTTTCTACTTCCGTCCGATGCCTAATTACACACCGATCTAGCGTGCGGGAAGCGTCACTTTACGACGGCAGTTTCGTTTCTCACGGATTCGAGCCACTTCGGACATTTCCGGGATTTTACCGCACGGATTTGAGAGCAATCGGATCTCGTTTCGAGTCGAACTCGTGAGTCAAATGCCGTTTACTGCACTCATTGTAACTGTAACGGTATTATAAAACTTCTGGAGTCTCCGGTCGAAATAAGTGTCTGCTTTAATAATGTTTACGATCCTAAACTTGAAGGGGTTCCATATTGTAAGCGTTTTGATTCTAATTTGAAAGCCACTTGAACGCAGTTTAAAATTAGAATTAATGCGTCGCTATATTGAAAAGATTAAAATTGAAATCACTCAGTTAATGAATATTTTTTTACGAAAATTTGGATGTCCTTGTCCTTAATATAATACATAATAAAATAAACCGGTTAAAAATGGGCAGTTCCGCTTAGATCTACCTTTTTATTGCTTCAAATAATATTCTTCGATTTAAAATGGCGTTTAATTTGACTTACGTGCATAATTTTAGTTCAATTATGGAGAGCATCAAGGCCCTACACCTAGGGCGGCAATCACCCCGAACAGCCAGCGAGATTGTACGCATAGTTTAATTAGTTACCTTCGTCACAAGTTACAAGAAACAACAACTTTTTTAAATGGCATTCGAAAACAATATAAGAGCAGAAAATGTTAGTTATAACCAGTTTGGGTTTCGTAGGGGAGTATCAACACATGATGCAATTGTTGCTCTATACAATCAAATACGAAGTAATTTAGACTAATTCTTTTCGATCAAAAAAGAGCTTTTGACGTAATTAACATTGATTTGTTGCTTCTTAAGTTATATCATTATGGTATTCGTGGCAACGCTCTAGGATGGTTAGAGAGTTTCCGAAAAGATCGTAAGCAAAAGGACGTCTTAAAACAAAACGATAAGAAATTTTTTTCTAGTGATGTGATGACCTCCAGTGGCGTTCCGCAGTCCTCTATTATTTATTATCTATATTAATGACATACTTTTCTGTGGATCAGATAATAATTATCTATTGGCTGATGATACAGCTGTATTTTCCTGCGGTGCCGACATGGCGCATCTGTCTAAGAACTCTAATCATGATAAAACTGAATTGATTCATTTCTCACTAAGTGTAATAATAAAACGATCGACGAGAGGGGGGTTGCGAAATTTCTGGGAGTTTATTTCGATTCTGGTCTTTCTTGGTCTCATCAGGTGGACTATATTCCTAAAAAAATATCCACACACTGTTTTGTCATTTGGGTCGATTATATTCTTTTATTGCTAGATTATTATTCGTATATCCAGTCCTGTTTAAATTATGCTATTACTGCTATTATTCGTACTTTAAACCGAAACATTATTCCTGCATAAAAATATTTATCGAAACGCAATTTTTGACATTTCCCAGTCTATAATACTGAATTCGGTAACGATGGTTAAATCTAATTATGATGAGTATATATGTATATATGTACGCGTGCAACGAATGAACATTATAGTTTCAGACAGAATTATAACCCAAAACATAAATTAAGTTCGATAGCAAATAGCTCAATCGTCCTTCCTACAAAACTTTTTAATAAATTACCACCTGAGATGAGGCGGATTTCGGGCTGCGGTCAGTTTAAGGCTGAGGTGAAACGATTGCTTATCCAGAAGGCACCTGCAGTGTACTTTTTAATTCGTGTTTTAACCATTTCAACTTGTGTTTGTTTTTTATAACCGTATGTGTTATTTTAAAAATGTTGTGTATTTTTATTGGTTGTGTATTTTGACATTATCCTATACTTACAATGTAAGTCATATGGAAATAAAGTATATTATTATTATTATTAAATCCGAGTTTAATAAATTTAATTAAAAATTTAATGAATAATATATATCTGTTGACAGCTGAAAAAATGACTGCACCACAATTAATCTTAATGTTAATGACAACGAAAGTGACATAGAATTGGATTTCGTGTGTACTTATTTAAGTAATTACTGATAATTTGTATATATTTAGTGTCATCGCATTTTCTATTAGTTCTGACAAGGTTTTTATACGTAAATAAATATAATATAAAAACCTTAAAAGTGCGTCCCCGATTCTTTGCCCTACAATACGAACTAGTCAGCAGCTTATTGCATTGTGGTGTTCCGCAGGGTACTAATTTGCGTCCCTTACTCTTTTTTATTTATTATTTGCAAAGCTTTTAAAATGCTGAATTTTCTGATCAGAACTTGCAAAGAGCTGAGAAATCCCAAGGTAATAAAAATTTTATATAACTCCTATCTGAGATCTAATTCGGAAGAATTATGAATATTTTAATGAAGCAATTGAAAGAATCCAAAATAAATTTGTATGATATCTTCAATTTAAAATGAGTGGAATCTATACTATTGTTTCGTAAAATACAGATTTGATTCGAATACATAATATGACATCTCTCCGGCAGAGGCATTTACTACAATATTGTATGATTGTATTAAAATAATAATAATTGATGATGACTTACTGCTTAATATCATTTTTTTCTGTACTTAGGACGTTTCCTGGGCACAACGGAAATGTTTCTATTTACCTAGGGCCAAAACAAATATAATGTTCTGTTACCCAATTCAGTATGTTGTGAATTTTGTTTATAGACATACTGACTTTCCTACTAATAATCTCGTATTAATTTGGAAGCGGTGTTTTTTTTCTTTAGCCTTTTTATCGTAGGTTTTCATCTAGCTTCGGGAAATATTAATATTTTAAGATTTTTGATCTGTAACTGGTGCATTGTACTGTTGATGAATAAAGGTGTAACTAAGTATAGACAAAGTATAAACCAAAACTAAGGACGGGAAAATACGTACCGCTCATGTTAAGCTCGGGGGCGACCAGTTCGTTGAGGTCGGGCTCCTCGCCGTACCAAAATATCCACAGTTCCTTCGAACTGGCCAGGCTGAGCGGGGGCGGTTGGTGCGACACGGGCGGCGGCTCGAACGCGTCGCCCACCATGTGACCGGCCTGATGGCCGCCGTGGTGGCGCGAAACGCCGCCCGTCCCCGGCACCCGCCTCCACACGCACAAGATGTCGGCCGCGAGGCAACGCGCGTAACTGCGGAGCACCGGGTCGTCGAGGGGCTCGCCGGGAACAGCGTGGTGCGAGCCGAGACCGCCCCCGACGCCCTCGTTCCACGTCAGCTTACGCCATTTGATGCCGGACAGCTCCGTCTGCAAAATAATAATAATAAGTAATAATAGTAATAGCAGTACTAGCAGTAATAGTAATAATAGTAACAATGACAATAATAATAATAATAGACTTTAGACTTTATTGGCCATTAAATACATTACAAGAACAACGAATGGCAAGTCACATCTGTGAATGAAAATGAATTAACACAGTACCAAACACATTCTAATAACATTCATAGAGAGCAACATAATTATCAGATAGACAAACATCAAACATTGAAACAAGAATTAGCTAAAAAAAATAAGTAAATAAATATATAAATAAATTCCCATTTAGTATTATGGAGACACTCGTGACGCAACACGTATGTACTCATCTGCAGTATAGAATGCGTTCTCCAATAGAAATTGTTTTATTATCTTACAAAATTTAGTGAATGGCAGATCCTTGACAACGGTTGGTAGAACATTGTAGTAATTAATGTACGATTTATTCAACTAGGATGCGCGCAGCCTAGAATGGCCCTGGACACAAGACTTAACAAAGCATGCGTGGTGGACCTTCCGCCCCTAAACCCGAACTGTTCTTTGCACAAAAGTTTGTGTTTTTCAAAATAGTTCAGCAAACGATCTTTTAAGATTATTTCGACGCTCTTACACATTGTAGGGATGATTGCAATAGGTCTATAATTTGAGGGGACGTTGGTATCTCCCTTGTTGTCTAGTGGCACAATCCTGCTTATTTTTAACTGTTCTGGGAAATATTCCAGTTTCAAACATCCGGTTAATTAGATGAGCTATAGGGTCAACTAAAAAAGTTGCGGTATCTTTAAGAATTTTTGAATTTAGGTTGTAGACGTCTAAAGAATTAGAATTACTCAAATGTAGAATTGTGTTATAGACTAATTCACCGGAAACCGGATCCAGGAAAAACGACCTCGTGGGACTTGATTGCCTTCTCATATAGAGCATTGGATCATTTTTTTTTTATTTCGGCAGTAATGCTCGATGCCACCTGAGAAAAATATAAGTTGAAATCAATGGGAGTAATACTACAATTGGTATAACCGCGATTAAGGTTTTTCTCATTGTTAATAAGTTTCCAGCAGCTCCGACCAATATTGTCAGTTATTTACAAACTGACCATAAGCTGAACTTTTTTATAGCGCTTATTTAAATTTCTACAGTCCTGCCAATGATCCGGACTGCCACACGCTTTGGCCATGGCCTTTACATGTAAGAGCTTATCATGCAGGCAACTTAGATCGCTATTGTACCAGTGAATCAGTCTCGAACTTGTAGAGTTAACTTGTTTCGTTTGAATAATCTGGTGATAATTGACATTGCTTGTTAGAAAATTTAACAGATATTCCACCGTATCAGATGGGCTTACTGTCAAGGAATAGTAATTATCCCAAACTGTTACCTCAAGAGTCTGCGAAAACTGCTTGAGACCTCGCGCTGACACGGTTTTAATTGAAAATCTAACCTAAAATCAGTTTTCACATTAATGAAAACACCTTTGCTGCTAATTTATAATTGTGAACCTTAATAATATTAAGTAACTCCTCACTATTTACAAAATGTATAATAATAATAATAATAACAGTAATAACAGTAATAACAATAATAATAACAGTAATAGCACAAACGAATGTCTGAGACGAATTGTGGTGTGGATGAAATCGCATAGGCTACAGCTGGCCCCGCGAAAAACAGAAATGCTCATCCTAAAAGGTAAAAGGAAGAGAGACCACATACGAATCAATCTGGGTGCGGTGAAAATACAACCAAACAAAACCGTAAAATATCTAGGTATCACTTTGGATGAACCTTAGCTTTAAACGACATATGGAAAACCCAATAGAGAACGCTGAAGATTGGGTGGCAAGGCTAACAAGGCTGGTGCCAAAGATAAGAGGACCTAGTAGCGGCAAGAAAATGGTGTTAAGGAGCGTGGTGGAGACTATTATCCTGTATGGGGCACCCATATGGTATACAGCATTAAAGCATAACAAATATAAGGATATAATCTCCAGGGTCCGGCTAAAAATGCTAATCAGAGTGGCATCAGCATATAGAACCGTCTCGACCGCCGCTTTACAAGTTATAACTGACGCTATACCAATCGACCTTCTTACTCAGGAGAGGCGATACGCACGCATACGAACAGGGTGCTCACAACCTAAAGCACTCAAAGATGACTGCAAGAACAAGAAGCATACAAACCTGGAAACATAAATGGAAAAATAATTATACAAAAGGCCAATGGACACTTTTCGGCACACTGACTATTATCTAACACAAGCCATCACAGGCCATGGGTGTTTTACGGCATACGCCAAGAAAATTGGAAAAGATACAACTGACACCTGTATATATTGCAATGAAATAGACGACGGAGAGCATACAATCTTTAAATGTGCGAGATGGAGCGTGGTACGAAACACTAGGTTGCATATTGATCGAAATTTAGTTCTCAAAATGGTAGAAAATGAGGGAGGAGCAGTGGAAAACAATACACGATATGATTAAAACCATAATGCGTCAGAAAAGACAATATGGCGAGACAACCGGTTTAAAAATAATCTTAGAAGACTAGACATGATGGCATGTCAAACACGGACGGTTCCATGGATGCGACGCAGGGTGTAGAAATAGAGAGGTTTTAGTGGGTTAGAGTCCCACACTGTTTTGCCCAGATAAAAGACGGCAAAACTCGTGCACAAAAAGAGAACACTTGCCCGTTTAAATATAATAAAAGAAATATAATATTCTGTGATAATTTATTCTTGTAATAAATTATACACAAACAAAACACCATGTTAGGGAAAACTATTTTGTCACAACAGTACGAAAGAACCGAAATGATGACGATGTTAAAATGTTAAAATTAATGAAAATTGAAGCGGGTCCCGCATTTTTCTAGGCGTGCCTAAAATCAGCTGATTTCTTTTTGAGGGATAAGTCTTCATTCGTTCATTCATTCATTTAAAGTTGACGAAGCACATTCACATTCTTCATCCAAGCATCTTCAATTGGGCTCGCATCTAGACATAACTTGACCAATTCTTTTCTGTGGGGTCAAATATTATCATATATATCATAAAATCATTTCCGGTAAAATCAACATAATCCCACACTTGCCATTGTAGCCCTTCAAAACATCACTGACCGCATACGAAAAATTCTTAAAACCAGATTTACAAATAATTTAACGAATTTGACTTATTTTGAAAAGTAATAAATTAAAAATATATAATTTTAAAACCTCTTTTCAAAAAATACCAAGAGTTGTTTCAGCGTCTCACCGGGAACGCCGATCTGATATAGCAACGATAACTAACTTAAATTTGAACATTTAAGGTTATACTAAAATTATTGGGTCCATCCCCGTGATATTTTTAGGATATTAACACTTGCAGTTATACCAGAAGTAAGTGCCTTACTTAGTAAACAATTTTTATATTTGTTGATGAAAAAATTACAATAAAAGGCGGAAATAATTTTGAATCATTACGGTTCAACCAAATGTTTCACCTTAGACGCCAATCTACAAATAACTTTAAAAATATTTATTTAAATATTTACATATTGGCATTTTCTTCATTTTAATTGGTCTATTATTTAAAAAGGCTTTAATTGCTGGAAAACGAAACCCCAAACGAAATACGTTATGATTTTACAAATGTACACCAGATTTCACGCCCTTGCCTTTCCCCAATATGGAAATAGGCGAGACAATGTTCATGTCCCTTTAATTCCGCCTCCTCAAACAGTCCCTGCAGAGCAGAATGCGAGTCAGGTTCTGCTTAGCTCTGAAGAAGCCAACAAGATAATCGGCGAAACGTCAGCAAGTTCGATTCGAAATCCAGAAGGAAGCATAAAATCTTCCAGAATTTTTACTTAATAGACTCTTGGAACGATGTGTGCCTAAAGACAAATTCCAGCCCACGCCATAAGTGGATCTTTCAATTACATCAGCCATGAGGAAGAAACACACGCAAGATTTCGAGGGCAATATTTACAAAAACGTATGGAAAGAAATTGTTATGATATTAAACACAATCGACATTCACTGGTTCATGGTATTTTTTCACCCTTTAATGAAATACTAATCTTCAACACTTTCATTTAAATGTCGGCACAAAAATACGACGACTAGTGAATCAGCAAAGGGGAGATACCAGATTTAGATATCCACAGAAGCATGCAAAAAATTTACGCAGGTTCCAACTTGCAGACTATGTGTTTGATGATTAGATTCGTCGATATCTTTTCTTTAAATATAAGTGTTTTTCTATTTATTTGAATATTTTAGTGCTCTTTCTCATTTTGGTTTAGTTATAATTTAAGATTGATTTTATTTAGATAAATCCATAAGTGTTGGACGTACGCGATTCAACTTATTTGCATTATGGAAACTTTGATAACAATGCAAACGCTATTAAGATTTGAACACTACCACTTGCTATAAATAGAAATGTAAAAGCGAATTGAAATAGTTCGCTTGCATTCTTAACGTAACTTTATACGTCGATATGGCGCTCGTCACACCTAGATAAGGTGATTTAAAAGGAATGTCAAACGATAGTCTAGCAAATTAATTATTAGCTTCCGTACATGTTTACATTAATTGCAGCATATGCAAAGATATACTATCAAAAATATACGTATATACATCCAAAAAAACGACCACTGGGCCCCATTTCAATTTTATTAATGTATAATGCAAGTTACTGCGTACAAGGCACGAGTGGTTAGTGAATATTTGGACGAAGTGGGTATCGAACTAAGGGTTCGGCCAGCTTGCAGTCTAACTAACCCTATTGAGAATCTCCACTACCAACTTTATAAATGCATTATCCGAAAGCTTTTACAATCTGCGAAGGCCACACAGATTAGCCTTTGCCTTTTTTCCTTATTTCTATTCTTTTCATCTCTAGGTTCTTTTAGGTTTTATAATTAAACCTAATTGTTTGCTGGCTTTGTCACAGATTCACAGATTAATCCAAAGCGTTCGCTTTGAAAAAATC